TTATTTTTTAGCATAAAATGTAATTAAAACTTTGTTAAAAGTGAGTGAGCTAGCCACCTTTCCATTGGCTAGCTCACTAGTTGTGCACCCCTTTGTTTTCTTTCATTTTTTTTTTTTACTTTCGTTTCACTTCATTTGGTTAAATTTCAGTCCCTTTTAGCACTATTTTAGGTTGTTTTTGTGTGATATGAATTGAATATGGGCTTATAAAAGGGTCCTAGTCCTCCCCGCTACATGTGCTCTTACTTCTTATGTTTTAAATATCATATTTGTGTTGTTGTAAGTCCTCTTGGATTTGGCATGTTTAGGATATAGCGGCCAATTCGTTGAGTTGATCGTTTTTAGCTTCCCTTATGTAACTTGCAACCTTGTGGCCATAGGAGAATTAGAGCTTAGACTTAGCCACCCCGCCACAAGTTTACTTATCTAGTGCAAATTTTTTGCTTTGATGTTATTATTGTCCACCTTGAAGCTAGGTTGTAGCTTCCGTGTCCAAAGTGTTGAAAAACTCTCTTATCAACCATTTTTGAAACATGGAAATGGATGTCTCATCCTTGTTCCATGAAAAAGAGGAGTTGTCAATAACTTTGGCTAGTTGTGTGTTTAAGCTTTGATAGATAGCTTGTTTTTTGTCTTTTTTTCCTTACTTGCTTTGTTGCTCCTAAAGAGCTCTTTCTTGAGAAATGTTGAAAACTCTTTCCTAGTTCGACTTTCAAGCATGGAAAAAGATGTTTCATCCTTATTGCATGAGTAGGGAGATGAGTTGACAACACTTTTTGAGTTGTTACTATTTTTCATTTTAGTTGCTCCATAATCATCACATACTAGCTTGTGATATTTGATGGTTTACGAAGCATGTCTACCTTTTTCTCGAATAAATTTCATGATAGAAAGGACGTAAGGAATATAGCTTTGTTTTGTGTTTAGTTAAGTCTTTTTCTTTTTCTTTCAAAGATAATCATGCAACAACCTTGCTATGGTTGATGATTTAGGAAGCAAACCTACTCCCTCATTGAAAATCCTCATGACAGGAAGGAGTAGGAAGAATGAATAGCTTTCGGAAACCCTATGTCTTGTTCTGTTCCAATTCTCCTGCAGTAGGGTATTCCTTATTCTATACGGCCGACCACCTTATCAAGCCAGTTGGTCAAGCATGTTGTACGGCAGTGGTAATTGTACAGTAGAACAGAGCAGATCCTGAGGCCAAAACAGAACTATTTTTTGGCTGTAAACAGGGCAAGTTCTAGCAGCAAACAGAGAGGTTTCCGGAGGATATTCTTGCGTGTGTGCATGTGGCTCGTAGCTCATTCAAGTCCATTAGATTAGTAGCTTTGATATTTATTTTGAAATGATTAATAATTAATTTGTTCATTCATTAGCGTTTGTAATAATTAGTTAATTAGGACATTCGGACTCTCCTGTGCGAGGCAAACTTGTAATATTTGTATGTCTTCCAACTCTCATTTCTTTCTCCCTTCTATTTATATGCTTACCGTGGTTGTATGTAATATCATGTTTTCGTTTCGAATCATTGCCATGCTTTGCATCCATTTTTGCATGCATTAAGGTTCGGTTCATCATTTTTTAAGATCATTGTCATTTCCTACTTGTTTGAATACGTGCGTTACAGCATGCTTTGAGTTAATCCATATGACATAATAAACCGAACTTAATAGTTTCATTCTTGTATGTGTTGCATTAGTCATGTGCATTGTTAGGGTCATCCATTTTTCTAATTGCTTTCTTTTTCTTTGGCTTACCTCGGAGTACTAGGTGAGTATTTTTTGTTTTAGCATATTCATGTGTGTGATTGTTGTCATGCTTAGCATCTTACCATGAGGCTACGTGCTTACTCGAAATGAACTATTTGAATACTTGTGGATGAATGCTATTTTACTTGCATTGGGAATGATTTTGATCAAATGTATGTAAGAGTTCATTTCTTTCCTTTTGAGTTGTGTGCACTCCAAACTCTTTTAAAATAATCACATAAACTCAAGTCATTTCCAAAGCAAGCGAAACAGTCTATACTTGTGTGTCTCACATAGTAAGTTAGCATAATAAAATCAGAACAAGAGCATATGATGTTGATAAAATTCACATCATAATTAGTAGAGGTTGATCTTTGATCGGGTGAGGTGAGTGCTTAATTCATGACTTTCCCCTCTCATACCTAAGCTCCCGAACCGAGACAACTTTGGTTACGACGGACAAGTAGCCTTTGGCACCAGTCACGGATTTCCTAAATTTTTCGAAAATATTTAGGTGGGAACTATGAAATCTGGCAATGCAGTTCATTTTTGGCATATCTGATGATTAATGGATTTTTTAAGATTTGCCGAATTTGGACTCTTATTTGTTTTTTTTTTCTGTTTCACATTGCACTTTTGAAGCCAGATCCAGAATTACGAGAGTTCGAACTGTAGGACTATCGTACCCAATGAGACTAAACCCCTCCGATGAGCTCAAAAAACAAGCTACAATATCCCTATTTAAAAGGTATAAAATTTGTACAAAAATCTTTAAAAATTTATTGAATACAAAAAAATACGAAAATGTACTAAATTTTTTTTATTTTTTTTAATATTTTTTGTATTTGGTGAATTTAAAAAAATTGTTCACAAATATTATACAAAATTAGGTGAATCTAAAAAATAAAATAAAAAATACGCATAAAATATTTAAAAATTCAATAAAAAAAATTATGAAAAATAAAAAATTTAATTTTCTCATGAGTGAGTTAAATAAAACAAAGTTTTTGTCTTATTTTTTTTTAACTTGATTGGGTTGCGGAGGCCTGTCCCTGTCCTTGTATTATCTCAAACCAACTGATGAGTTAAGTAAAACAAAGTTTTTATTTTATTTTTTTTAACTGGATTGGGTTGGGGAGGCCTGTCCCTGTCCTTGAATTATCACAAACCAACGGATGTAATTGAATTGTTCGCCCCTCAACATAAATACATGGAGATGGTCAACATAAATACATGGTGGATCATACTTGTTGAGAGTTCAACAAGATTTGCTCAGCCCCTTCCAGTTCAAGAGACAGACCAAGGATGACAATTGCTCATCCTCTGAGCTTTTCTTATTTATTTATTTATTTATATTTTTTTTTATTTCTTTGTTTTAGGATAGTGCATAATTATATTACAACTAAAAAGGTTCATCGCTGCTCCATCATCTCAACCTCTTGGCGTCCGTCACAACACCTTAAGATATAGCTACTAGATTATTTGACCAAATCTCAATATCTTTTTTGTTGATTATCTATCTCTTTATTAACCAAGTCATTGATAAAAATCTCTTATTCAGAGCCACAATATAATTTTATTAAGGCCAAGTTTGGGATGTTCCAAAAAAGCCAAAAAGTCAAAAAGTTACTCAAAAAGTTAAAAAGTTAACATTATTCACCAAAAGTCAACAATTACGGCTGCACAACTCCCAATTCAAATTTTTCTCTACAAATCAATTTTTACAATTTTTTATTACACATTTTTCAATAAAAAGTCAAAAAGTTAACCCAAGTTAACTCAAACATCCATATTTTCAACCTCAATTTTTTAGTCCAAAAAGACAAAAAGTGCACTTATTTAGTCTTCCCAAACTTGGCCTAAGTAATGTTTCATTCAATAACAAAATTTTAGAATTTGAAACAAAACTCATTTTAATAATGTGATAGATGTGACGTCAATAAATTATAAAAAAAAAAAATTTATGACATCTATATGTTTATAGAGCAATGTTGTAGACCACTAATTTGTCATCATTAATCCCACCACCAGTGAGGTGACAATTGAAAAAAAAAAAAAAAAAAAAAACAAGGCACAAACACACTGTGACAGTGGGTGGGATCCATTGTCACATCATTAGAGCCACCACTAATTAGTAATTTAAAGCATTTCTCATGTTTATATAGCATTATCCTTCTTTCACCTTTCTATTTAAATTCTTTATCTATCATGCCATGAAGAGTTAAGAACCGAGAGATATGGAATGAGAGAAAAATTACTTTGTAGAGGGGAACTAACTAGAGAGCTGGTTGTGTTAGAGAGATACTTTGTAGCTTTGCAACTGCACCAATTTTCCCCAATCTTATACTACAACTATTATACTGCACATTGATGCTCCTCCCCTCCCCTTTTCTTTTTCTTTTTTTCGATCGGCCGCTCTCGTTCTCTTAATAGACCCTTCATTTATTTATTTATTTTCGCTAAAAGATCTTATCGTGTTGTGTCTGAAATTAATGTTAGGCATAAACGCATGATAAAATCACATTTGAAAATTGAAATTGAAATTGAAATCATATGTTAGAGTATCTGTAATAACAAATACTATAGTAATATTGTCATTGCTATAATTTGATAACAAATAGTAGAAAATTGTAGAGTTATAGCAATGATACTTTAATGTTGTATTTAGTTGGAAGATTTGAAAAGAGATTAGGAACAGGAAATGAAAAGGGAAGATAAATTATAAATAAAATATTTCACCTAATTTTATACATTTTTTTCATTTCTGCTTTCAAATCTCTCAACCAAATATAGCGTAATGGTTATATGTCATTTTGAAATAATGAAACACAGAAACTAGTGTATTCGGTCGAACAACAGGGCAGTCGTTCAGCCAGTCGTCCAAAGCACACCAAGTTTCTGTGTTTCGTTATGAAAAAATGACAATTTTACAAAAAATTACCTGTTTTGCTGAGAGTGAGAGAGAGAGAGAGAGAAATGATTGGTTTTAGCTGAATTGGTGAATATGGCAACTGCCAAAGCTTATGCCAAATTTGACACAAGCTTTGGCATTTTTTACTTTTGATAGTTGTCATATTTAACATTGGAACATCACTACTATTATATTATAGTAATGACAGTTCCAATGACAAATCATTAAAGACACTCTTACAATTTCAAATCAACCTTCTAGTTTTCAAGTTGTTAGTGGCCAATTCTTTATAAAAAAAAAATAAGGCAAGACAAGACAAGACAAAACAAAACAAAACAAAAATGAGAAATATAGCTTGAAAAATATATTATAATGGTATGTTCAGAATTGGTTAATTACAACGCAATTTGCAGCCAAAACACACAAAAATAAAGTCCAAATAAATTTGTTTTTCTGTTTTTTTAATCATAAGGAAAAATTCAAACAAGATCTTGTGGCGGTGACAATTCCTCTCCAGCCTCATCACCACCACCATCACCAATGTTACTCCTGTCTTCAGTTACTTCCGACAGCAAAAAGCGTGGCACGGCAGCCGCCTCATCCCCAACTAAAACCGCCACAACCTCCCTCATGGTAGGCCTGTGGAGCGGGTCAGGGTGACAACAGGCCAAACCAAGCTTCAACACAGCCTCCACGTCCTCCACCTTGTACTCTCCCTTCATTCTCTCGTCTGCAGCCTCCCACACCCTCCTCTCCACGTACTTCTCCCTCACCCAATCAATCAACACCACCTCCTCCTCTCTCTCCTTTGATGGCTCTATCGGCCTCCGTCCGCACACCACCTCCAACACCACCACTCCAAAGCTATAAACATCGCTTGCTGCTGTCGGCGCTGCCACCGTGGCCAGCTCCGGTGCCAAGTATCCCAAAGTCCCCACCACCCGCGTCGTGTTGGGCGCCTCACCGTGTGTGTACAACTTCGCCAGCCCAAAATCGCCCAACCTGCCTCTCATATCGTTGTCTAACAAAATGTTGCTGGACTTGATGTCTCTGTGAATAACCACCTGGTCCCAACCGTGGTGAAGGTAGTTCAAGCCCTCAGCGACATCGGAGAGGACTCGCCTCCTACCTTCCCAATTCATTAGTTTCTTGGGCTTATCGAATATCCATCGATTGAGACTGCCATTGGGCATGTAATCGTACACAAGCATCAATTCATTGCCCTTCCGACACCACCCTCGCATTTGGACCAAGTTTTTGTGTTGAAGCCTACCCATACTTGATATCTCTGCCATGAATTCTCTAAGTCCTTGCTTCGAATCATGGCTCACACACTTGACAGCGACTTGGGTGTCGTTGGGCAGTGTTCCTTTGTAGACTCGACCGAACCCTCCTGCCCCAAGCAGCTCATTTGCGGAGAAGCCTTTGGTGGCCAGAATGAGCTCTTCGTAAGAGAATCGGTGCGGCCAGTACTCGAGTTCCCAATCTTCAATCTCATCATCATCATATTCTTGCTCTTTCATTTTATTCTTTCCACAAAACCAGTAGTAACAAACAGACAAACAAAGAATTAAAACGAAAACAGAGCCGATTGTAATACCAGCAATAGCCCCGGGAGAGAGCGAAGAGGACGATGTTTCGAGCGAGAAAACAGGTAAATTCGTGGTGTTGATGTCTCTGGCAACACCAGTGTCACTGAAGCTCCACGCTAAGACCCTCTGTGCCTCGACCCAAGTAGTCTTCGATGCAGAAAAGCCAACATACATTTCTGAAGAAACATAGTTGGCTATCACTGGATCTCTGAAGGTGAGCAAAGGTCTGAGCGGTCGAGACACGCCGAGGGGTGCGATAGTGACATTGATTTCGAATTGAGAGCCATCGAGATCGATCCAAGCGTGTATGTTCTGACCGTTCCGCATATTCACGGGGATGAGATCGGCGCTAGCGCTGGTGGAGTTGTAGTAGCCGGCGTCCGCAGTCTTCTTCGATTCGACGTTATTGAGGTCGATCCCGACATGATTGTTGTTTGGGTCGTTGAATTCCGGGTTTTGTCCGACATCGAACTCGACGGCGAGGAGTGGGACGACGGCGGGGACAGTGGCGTCGGAGAAGAGGCCGAAGTACTGACCGGATAGAGCGCCGTCGGGTTCGGTGATGTTGGAGAGCACAAAGACGAGGCCGAAGCCGGGGCTGGTGCTGATCTCCGGCAAGATAGAGAAGACGAAGGAAGTTGAGAATGATGAAATCTGGGTGGAATTAGAGGTGGGTTTCATTCGAAGCCGAGATCGGTGAAAGGCTCGACCAATGGACAACTGGTTGGAGTCGTTGGTGAGGCGGAGGACCGAGGAGTCCAAGCGAGCGTCGTCGATGAGGTAGATGAAGTCGGTGGCATTGAAGAAGGAATTGAAGAGAAAATCAAGAGCAGAAATGGAACCAGGGAAGATTGTGAGATGGACAAGGAAGAGGAGCAATAGTGGGACCATCTCGTTACTGATTACGGCGGTCGCCGCCTTGCCGGCAGCGAAGATTCCGTATTACTGGTGTTGGATTTGGTATTCGTTGGAACAATTTGCTTCTCTGTTGATGTCTTTGGTTGAAATTACCCTAGCACATTCTTCACGGCGTTTGAACTTTGAATTAACTGTTTCTTTTCTTTTACTGGTTTTTATTACTTGGTTTTTTATTTAATTTAATTTTCATCTTTTTATTAAAAGTCAATGATGTTTTATCAAAGTCGTGAAAATAATAATGTCAAGTTTGGAAAGATTAAATAAGTGTATTTTTTGATTTTTTTTGTATTATGTGTAGAAAAAATAAAAAAAAATATTGATTGATGTGACTTAAAAAAGATAAAAAGATAAAATAAGCTCGCTTTTTTAAGTTAGTCAAACTTAGGGTTGGTTTGGGGTGTCCTAAAAAAGTGCACTTTTTGTCTTTTTACGAAAAGATGTGCAGAAAAGTAAAGAGGTGATGTGATGAAAAAGAGATAAAAAGATAAAAAGATGGATTATATAGGTTATGCCAAACCAGGCCTTAGTCTAAATTAAATATTAGTTAAAAACAAGAAGAAACTTCTAAAAAAAAACGCATATATATCAATAAGAAAATGTGATTCTAACGTATGGGCGAACGTTTATTTATGCTTGCACAAATTTGTCAACGATACTATGGACCGATTTGTTTGGTTATGTGGTGAATTAAGAAGCAAACTGATTTATATGATTTAAAAAATACATGAATTAAATTCAATAGTGAAATTTTTGGAGTTAAAATGAGGGTTCATTTGAAAAGTGATTTTTTTAATAATTTTTTAATTTTTTGTTTAAAGTATAAGGTGAAAAAAAATATTAAATATTTAAAAACTAGAGAAAATGAGAAAGAATCTTTGATTATGTTGTATGAGTTTTTAGTTTATTTACTTTTTTTAATAGCTTTTTAACTAATTCAGATCACTTTTGTTAACATCTAAAAAATCAGTTTATTGATTTATCTAAATCATATCACCACTTTATTTTTTTACACGTATTTTCATAGTAATAATAAATAAATAAAACTTATAAGTTATACTCCAAACAAGCCTATTGCCAAAGGCACAAAAAATAATGATAATAAGAGGAAATAACAAAAAAAGAAAAAAAAAAAAATAAGAGGAAATAAAAAAAAAAAAAAAAAAAAAAAAAAACACAAAATTTTGATTCTTATAACAAAATAAACTCTGAATTTTTAATTTTATTAATTAAAAATCTAAAATTTTGAATTGTTTTCAATTTAAATTATTTACCTATTTCTGTTAGGTAAAATTGATGGAAAAAATTAATATATTAGTCATTAAACTAATAAAAATTGTATTTTAGACATTTTATGTATACTTACATTGAATTTAATGACTAAAATACTATTTCTTTTGTTGATTTTACTTAACAAAAATATATGAATGTTTATATTGAAAGCAAATCAGTGAAGGTGTATATTGGCGAAATTAAAACTTTGGAATTTATTTTATTACAATACTAAAACTTTGGATTTTTTTTAATTTTTTTTTTTTTGGGGTAATTGTCCCTAATAATAATGAGTTCAATTACGTTCAATTATGTCCCTAACTACATGTTTGTTTGGGCGGACTGGATTAGCATTCCCATGACTAATAGTCCTAGGACTACGAATTCGTTGGATTATGTATCCTATCTTAACTAATAGTCAAGTTTAAAATAATTAGTCCGTACTTTAATTGTTTAGCCAATCATCGGATTAATAATTTTATTGGACTATTAGTCCAATCCCAAACTCATGTCCACCCAAACAAACATGGCCTAATAGTAATGAGTTCAATTTTGTCCCTAATAATAATGAGTTCAATTATGTTCAATTTTTCTGATTGCAATCTCTCTCTCCCTCTCTCTCTCTCTCACTTTCACTCTTTTTCTCTCTTCTTTCCTTCTTTTTTTTTATTTTTTTATTATTAGGCGGTGCTTTTTTAATTTTTTTTTTTTGGGGGGTAATTGTCCCTAATAATAATGAGTTCAATTACGTTCAATTATGTCCCTAATAGTAATGAGTTCAATTTTGTCCCTAATAATAATGAGTTCAATTATGTTCAATTTTTCTGATTGCAATCTCTCTCTCCCTCTCTCTCTCTCTCTCACTTTCACTCTTTTTCTCTCTTCTTTCCTTCTTTTTTTTTTATTTTTTTATTATTAGGCGGTGCATAAAATCATGTCGTTTTATGTATTTTTGATACATCCGTCAAAAATTACATCATATTATGAAATCTAAGAGGTTTAAGTGTTACAAATGAAATTATATGAGGATTCCGTATTTTTTGGATAAACCACAAGTGATCAAATTATTATTTACCTGTAAAAAAATATTATTATGTTTAGATAAAAATCATTACACTTTTAAAAGCATTTTTTTATATAGATAATCCTTGATAAATCCAATTCCCACCCCATACAAGTCAGTGAGAATAAGGGTGGTTCTGTTGGGAACATAGAACATATGTTGGTAAAAAGTCTTTGCGCTAAGGGTTTATGAAACTTAGTTCCATAAATATCATCTATTTGTACAAATTTTTATTTTCAATTTTTTGAACTTATCTATTCAAAAAAAAAATTAACCTAACTGTGCTAGTTTTTTCTTTTTTTTTTCTTTTCAAATTGAATCTACCTAATTGAATATTTTTTCTTATCTGTCCGAGTATTTTTGCTATCTGTACAAATTGAATCTATATGTTCTAGTATTTTTGGCTATTTGTGCTAGTATTTTTTCCTTATCTGTCCAAATTGAATACATTTGTCCTATTTTTGTTTCTTATCTATCTTATATTTTTGCTATCTGCAAAAATTAAATCTCTGTGTCCTAGCATTTTTAGCAATCTGTGTTACTATTTTTCATTTATCTGTCCAAATTAAACAAAACGAGCTTGAATCTATCTGTCCAAATTGAACAAACTGGGAGAATTGAGAAGAACTGATCTGAGTATGAAACTCAATTAAAACAAGGCCAAACAAGCCATATTAGGATATTCAAGTTTCACAAATCACAAGAAGCCATCAACAAATAAAAATAAAAATAAAAATAAAAAGATTCTCAAACACACGAAACAATTTCCATTCTTTAATATGTGAACCCAACAAAGGAAATCAAGAATAGCAACAAAAAAATAAAGCATATTTCCAATAATGAATATAACAAGAATAGCATAGAACGATTTCCATGCTTTAATCCATGAAAAAAAGATAAGCAACCAATAAAAGAAATGAAGAACGACGGCAGAAAAACAAAGTCCTCCAATTCCAATAATGCATAATAAGAATAGCAGAAGAGATGTGTGATGATTGACAGTAACTCTCTCAATCTCAACAAGGAATAACTCCAACCCTAGAAACTCATATCCTCTATCTTACGAGACTAGTCATCTCTGCCCTTAATACCACACAAGAGTAGCCCCAACCATTATTCTTCTTCAATCAACCACTATCTACACAAGAGTATCCACTATTCGTCATCTGTGGCAACACCTCCCTCTGCTACCTCCCCGACTCGTTCAAACTAGCCATCAGCACCACCACTCCATTTTTCACTACCATCTTCGCCTTTCTCATCATATGAAAGCACGAGTGCCCCCTACGTCTACTTCACTCTCTTACCCGTCGTCCTCGGCATTGTCCATACCAACAACAGCGACCTTTGATTTACCTGTTCGGTTTCCTAGTCGGCATCGGCTCCACCAGCGGTCAAGCCCTCAAATCAGTGATCCTACACCTTCTCAAATCGTATGATTTTGAATGGTGTATTGATCGGTATAGTTAAGTGAATCAGAGAAAGTTTTTAGGATTTGATTTGAGTCGTCTTCTTCATCAACCAGCTAAAGGGTTATTTGGATGTAGAATTCGGGTTCAGCTACGACGAAATCCCTAAGCTCTGCAACATCTTGCCTGCTAAGATGAAGATAAACATGCATATATCCAAACAAATTAATACAAAAGGACCGTGGATTTGTGGGACTGTCCTTATGGACCCAAATAAAAGGCATGTGAATCTATGCCCTTAAAGTCTATATAATGGACCTATGACCTGAGCACCTTTTTATATATATATAATTTTATAGGCATTCTTCAAATTTTGAGTCCAAATGAATCTTTGTAGAAAGCATAAAAGCGCAACAAATTCTTTACATTATATTGTAATTACTATAAGAACACAATTTTTTATAATATAAATAGTGTAAATATTCTTATACATAGTGAAAAAAATAATATATAAGCACATATATTTTCTATATAAAGACAAAACAAATATTGCGAATGACATGAATGAAAGTTTCATTCATACACTATGAAATACTCTATACATATTAAAATGGATAAATTAAATTGACTTCCCTCGAAATTTAAAAAAAATATAATAAGCTCAATAGGATTGATATAAACTACATTTACTTTTCTTAAATATAAAATTTGAGTAACAATTTACGCCACACAATTAAAAGAAAGTTAACTATTTAATAGTCCAATTCATATATGAAGTAAATTCCTATTTTGCCTTTATAGAGACATGTTAACCCTACTTAAATGGGTTAAACCCTTATTAATGGGTTAGACCTGATTTTTCTATCATACTCTCTATCATCTCCTCTAGCATCTTTCGTTCTTTTTTTTTTCTTTTTTTTGTTTTTTGGTTTTTTGTTTTTGTTTTTTGTTTTTTTTTATTCTCTTTTTTGTCTCTCTTATACTAATCACACCATATCCTACAAAGCCCCTTCTATTATTGATCAATCCGAACCAATCAACAAATTTGCTTGTGCTAGTTATCGGTAGTGAAAGGGAGTATGTACAATCTTTGATTGTGCTATTCTCTGTAGGACAGTTTAGACATCTCATTTTGACCAACCGTTAAGATTTAGATACTTGAAATGCTTCCCGATGATAATAGGTATCATAATTTCAACCTTAGGGATGGTTGAAGTTGTTAGAGCTGTTGTATTGCCTTTTTCGTGCCAAAAACTGTTTTTAGCCAAAATTACTGTTTTTAGGCCCGTCTTGAGGGCCTACTTTCACCTAGAAAAAGTTGAAATTTTAAAATTTCTAATTCACATAAAATTGTAACCGTATGAGTTGGCTTTCCAGCATGGGTTGATTCACTTCAATCCAATGTCAGATGCCTAAAATATGAAAGCCTATCTAGATCG